GGGTGTGTGAAAGGGGGGTGGGACAGTTGGGGGAGGTTGAGCGGAGGTTGAGCCGTCGTGTCGCCAGCAGTGCCAGTAGTCCGGAGGCTACAATCTCCGGTAGTCGCCAGTCGCCCGTGGGTCAGTTGCTCCAGCCGCTCAGAGTTAGCCGCAGAGCCAGTTACTCCTGTAGTCCGGGCCTTTGCTTCGGTAGCCACTGAGCCAGCCGCTACCGTGTGTCTGCAGCTTCCGTCGTCGCCTCCCATCTCCTCTCCTCTCACATTCCCTCCTCCTCTCACTTGCCTTCTGTGAATGCCTCTGGCTTTGCTTGTCCTTGTGAACCTGCTCTATGACTGCTTGCTGTGCTGATTATACCCCACTTTGACTATGGGGGTGTGTCAGAATGTTATAATTGTCTAGTCTGCAGTGGGGTACTCTATAGTGAGTACAACCCAAATTAGGGTTTGCTATATGTACTGCCCTGCTTACTAGTGAAGCCCTCTTTTCTGTTCGATCATTCTGCCTGCTATTTCATTGCAAGTTTTTCTTTCTTCCTCAGTGGAATTCTTGCCAAACTTCTGTATGAAACACAAGCAAGAAGTAAGAACGCTACTAGCAAGCTACGATCACTCGCACAACCACGTGCCCTCCACCGTAGTCCACTCCCGTTGTGTAGTGACTCTCCGCACGGATGGATTGGCCCACATGGATTTGGAGGTTGGAATGTGGGACGTAGATGCTCCGGCTGTAGATTTGACGATCGACGTAGATGCAATTTTGGAGGGAACAGACTGACGCGAAATTCAATCGCGACTCCTCGGCAACGTCGATTTCAATGTCGCGATCGTAGTCGTCCGTCGTGTTGCTGCATTCTGACAGAGTCAGGAATAGTGCCGAAGAAAATGCAGAGGGAAGAAACAATGCAGCGCACGTTCTTCCTCCCCTTCAAGAAAACATACAAAAAAAGACCCGCAGCTGCGCCGAGATGAAAACCAAACAAAACTATTTGTTAAGTTGCACTTATAAGATCATCGAGCGGAGATGTCTAGGAGGATATGTCGTTGGTGTGGAAACGCGATGACGAAACCAGGTGTGACGTACCCATAAACTCTTCCAGGGTGAACCAGCAGAAGTAGACCAGGAAACGAAGCGAAAATTGTCGAGTACTTGAACTGAACTTCTTTTGTCTTCACATCGCCGAAATCAGGATCATCAGCTGTTGCAGCTGGCAGCACCTGACGTGGTCGAAATCAAATAGTTTGTCGTGGGCGAAGGCGAGTTGCGATGTTGTAGCTTGTAGAGTTGGAGTGGTCGTATCCCGAAATCCTCTGGCCGTGAAATCGTTAGTGTTACGAGTGCCGGCGAAGAAGGTCGATTGAAGGCGAATTCAAATACGAGTGATGGCGATGGTTGTCGCGGAAGTAATTTGGTCGAAGATCACTCTTGTCGAAAATGCCGAGCTCGTTCTCGGTGTCAATTGACGTCAGCACCTCCGGCAAGTTTGTCCATACTCGCCGAGCAGTTTGTCCGGCAAGAAGGACGACACTTGCGGCTCTTGGGTTTGCTCCTTCGACTGAAGACCCGTCAATGTTTCCGACCCTTCTCTTACGCCGTTCTACATCCTCGTGTACGTCGACGAATTGGTATTTGCTACTGCTGACACTGAGGCACTGGCCCTTGTGAAGGCAGAGCTGCAGAAGAGGCACACATGCAGCTATCTTGGCTTGCAGATCACCCGGGACAGAGCAGCACACACCATCACTCTGACTCAGTCACACATGGTGCAGCAGGTCCTTCAGCGGTTCCGCTTTCAGTTCTCTTCGCCACAGCCCACTCCTCTGCCTACGAGCCACTCGCTCTCAGCTCCACATTCGGACGAGTCCGTAGAGCCGACTGGTCTGTATCCAGACCTTTTAAGCTGCCTCATGTACCTGATGACGGGCACTCGACCTGACCTCGCGTACCCTCTCAGCATCCTGGTGCGCTTCATTGCGCCCGGGAGACACCGCCTTGAGCGCTACAGGGCTGCGCAGAGGGTGATGTTTTACTTGTGCAATACAGCAGGCATAGGGCTTGTGCTTGGAGGACAGGGTCGAGTTGTGCTCATTGGGCACTCAGACGCTTCTTGGGCCGACGACCAGGAGACCCAGCGGTCGTCATAGGGTTAGAGTTTTAGTCTTGGCGCTGGTTCTGTCTCCTGGAGGTCCACCCGCTCCTCTTCTGTCCTTAGTTCCAGCTGTGAGACCGAGATCTACACCGGGGCTATGGCTGTGCAGGAGCTACGCTGGCTGACCTACTTGCTGACTGACTTGGGTGAGCGACCTTGTTCTCCTCCACTTCTGTACGTCGACAATGAGGCCATGATTGCCTTATGTCGGGAGCAGAGGCTGGAGCATAGAAGGAAGCACATTGCTCTTCGTTACTTTCTCGCACGAGAGTTTCAGCAGCGTGGTCAGCTTCGCCTTGCTTACGTGGCCTCAGAGGCCAACACTGCTAATATCTTCACCAAGGCCCTAGGGTGTGGTGATCATCAGCGTTTCTGTATTGCTTTTGGGCTTGAGTCCACTCTTCCTCACTTGCTTGTCTCTTAATCTCGCCTTGCACTTGTTGTACACTGCCATATACATCTGTACCTGCATGTTTACACTTGCTAGTTTGTGCCCTGATTCTGTTATTATAACTCTGCATGTGAACTGGACTTGTGGCCACTTGCTTGTGCTTGGACAGTGTGATGATCTTGAGATCCACCGTGAGCTTTGCTTTGATTTTTGCTTTAACTGGACTTGTGACCGTCTTCTTGTCCCCCCACTTAGCCTATGGGGGTGTGTGTCAAATTACAAATGTTATTGTTAGACTGTACTGGGGTACACAATAAGGGGGTACAACCCGTTTAGGGTTCCTACTTATATTCCTCATTCTGCTCAATGCAATCATTCCGCTGTTCACACTCTCGACACGCGCGCGCCGCGGTGTGCGGTGCGTGCGCTCGCTGCTGGCGCGCATTACTTATACGCGCTGCTTGCACGCTGCTATGGTGCATGGTGCTTTGGCGCGTGCTGCTACGGTGTGCACTGTTATGGCGTGCGCTGCTGACGTGCGCGCTGCTGTGGCACGCGCAGATGTGCCGAGTTGTGGCGCGCGCAGAGGCTGGCTTGCATGATGGCGCTAGGGCTGGCTGGCTGGTGAGCGGCCTAGGAACGAAGTACGTGGCGGGCTAGGTGTCGGTGACGGTGAGCGGAAATGCGGATCTAACCTAACTGATAGCATGTCAGAAACAGAATGTGCACTGAATGAGGAACGACAGGTAAAAATAGGCAATCATGGCCTAGGCTATCAAATGCAACACCCAAGTATAACATACGCACGCATTTGACTGCCCTATCCAAGAGGGGATCGTAAATTTTGGGAAGACACGTATTCAAGGGTATCTGCCCTGTATCACACTGCTATGGTCATCGCGTTTCAAATTTCTTTACTGACAGAGTTAATACCAACCAATAATAGGTTTTCCGTTCCTACATTCGAATGATAATATTTTGATACTAAGAATGATTTCCTCAATGCAAATTTACAATCTTCAAGTTTAGTCTATAAATGATCCCGTTATAGTGTTCAACCATTTCTTATTGGATTCTAAGGAAGTCCCCCAGATCTTATGTAATGGGGTATTTAAGGTAATATAAGAATGGTTCTATGATTGATGTACATGAATCAAACTGAGGAGTCGATTTGCAGTTGGTCATTCCAAATTAGTCGTTTGTAAAAGCGGGGATGGAAGGCAACCCCCAGGCAATGAGATCGATGCTGACGAGGGAGTTGCGTGGAGTGCGTATCCAATCAAAGGGCAATGTGTGGTTCCTCGGTGCTCGCCAGGGTGTCACTCCTGCACTGGAGGGGGATCCCACATCCACAACCAGCAGGACCACAAATGAACCTTAGATTGTAGGGCGTGAACAAAGAAAAATTGGGCCACAATGCTGGTCGAAACTCGGGACGCGAAACCCTGCTGGATCGAGACGCCCAGTCGGGAAACGAGATTCAGAACTGGAATGTGCGAAAAAAATATACTCAAGGTTTCATGCCCTCTTCACGTCTTGGATGCTGATCGTCCAACTTCGTGTCAGCGCGCTGGACCTGAAGTCTGATACGAGTTTCGAAACGCTCAACATGTCACTCTCGCGCGCACCCACCCGCCCCCAACATGTCACTCTCGGCTCGCCGTTGCCGCCACCTTTTCCTCCGCGGCCAAATCTGGGACTCACATGGGGAACACCGTGCAACCAGGAGATCAAAGCCCAATATCACCTGGGGAACACCTTTCCCCCCTCCACGCTCATCCTCACCACCACCGCGCCTTGGCTTCCATGCCGTAATGTCAGCTCCCGCAGCAATAGCATCTCCGCCCGCGTCGCCAGCCTGTTGCGTCGTGCGCTCCGACCAGGATCGTCTACCATTCATCGGTTCGCCTGGATCCAGACGACACTGTGCGATGTGTTAATTATCTAAGAACTGCGAGCATGTAGCGATCTGGATGAACGTTACTTCCTGTGCGTGCAATTGCTGCCGTGCGTGCAATTGCTGCCGTGCGTCTAGTCCTCCGACTGTGCTATTGCCTACCTGGGCTAGATTCCACCAGAGACGAGGGGGTTTTCAGCTAGTGGTCTTTATCCTTACTCCCTGCCTCTATCGATCAGGTCCGCAGTGTCATTTGCGCCATGGCACCTGGTTACGGCGGCCACATGTGACGTGGGTTTTGTAGTCCACGTTAGCAGTCGCGCCTGTGCGATCATATCGCCGACAGCACTGGCAGGCCTAGTTACAGTCGCGTATCCGACGGCATATCAGTGTTTTTGACGGCATAATATCAGTGTATTGAAGGACGATCAGTACACGTGACGAACTACTTATTTCCTTCCTTTTCCCTGTCGGCGCGACTGCTCCTACTGCTGACGGCCGATTCGCAGTGCCAGCTGTGGCGGTTATTAGACACTCCCCTTAGCGTGCATCGACGGCGCGGCGGCATGGCCGGCAGCGGGGAGCACGGTGGCGGCAACCCGCGCAATCCCGGGGGCAGGGGAGAACGAGCGGAGCAGATGCGGACGGAAAACGGCTACCACGCGGACGGGGAGTGCGCGCCCGGCGAGAGGGGGGAGGCAGCGGGGGCGACGGTCCAAGCGGGCAGCGCGCATGCCGATCGACAGCGCGGAGAGGAGCCGGCGGCAGCAAGCAGCGATGCGGCAAACGGGTGGCTTGTGCTTGACGGCGAGCGGAAAGCGGCAGGGTCGAGCGGGGTCGCGGAGACGGGTCGGCATCGCAGCAGCAGCATCGGCGATTCCCAGCAGCAGGTAGACAACGAGTACGCGGAGCCGTATCAGTTCGCGCAGTCGCTCGTGTCGCTGTCGCACAACCCTGACTCGCCCGTCATCAGCAACTGCGCCACGTGCGGCCGCCACGGACCGCCTGGCTCGTGCGCATGTGCGCCGCTGACTCCGCTTCGACAGCGCGGCGCAGCAGCGGCGGGATCGGGCGGACGTGACTATAGCGACGTGCCGCAATTGAAGCTGGAGTCAGGGGGTACCGCGGACGCGCAAGTGGCGCAGAGAGCGCGCATAGGGGTGACAGTGGCGGCGGTAGCAGGGGGCGAGGCGGCACAGGAGAGAGGCGAGAAGCGCATGGCGCAACAGCAGCAGCAGCAGCGCGCGCTCAGATTCGCGTCCAGCGTGGACGTGCGGAGGATCGCGACGGGCGGCAGCAGCGACAAGCTGGCGAACGGCGCGGAGGGCGGGGAGAGTAGGGCGCAGCAGCAGGTGGCGCAGAAGGCGTGGGCGGAGGGGTTCGACGCGATCGAGCGCGGGCTGGTGGCGGCGGTGAAGGGGTTCGCCATCGGCGCGGGGCTGCGCGGCGGACTGTCGCTCTTCAGCCTGCTGGGGCGACTCAGACGCCGCCGCGCGCGCATTGCCTCGTGAGTGCGCTGAGCCGTGCCGGCGCAGCGCACGCGCGCACGGTGGAACGGTGCTAGAGCGGGGAGAGGGGTTGGTACCAAGGCACGTGAGCACACGGGCACGTGGTAAACGTGGGCAGGGATGTTGGTGAAGGTGCATGGCAGCGGACATTGAGGTCTCTTGTGGCTCTTGATTCCGCGAGTGCGCATGCAACGCGTGCTGCCTTGTCCCACGTCCCACTCCCACGTTCACTGCCCGCCCACTTTCATAGGCCCTTCTCACCGCTGGCGCTGCCGTGTGTGCGCTGCGTGCGATGCTTTGTGGTTCTTTGCGGTGCGTGTGGTGCCTTGTATGCGGTGCGTGTGGTGCCTTGTATGCGGTGCGTGTGGTGCCTTGTATGCGGTGCGTGTGGTGCCTTGTATGCGGTGCGTGTGGTGCCTTGTATGTGGTGCGTGTGGTGCCTTGTATGCGGTGCGTGTGGTGCCTTGTATGCGGTGCGTGTGGTGCCTTGTATGCGGTGCGTGTGGTGCCTTGTGTGCGGTGCGTGTGGTGCCTTGTATGCGGTGCGTGTGGTGCCTTGTATGCGGTGCGTGTGGTGCCTTGTGTGCGGTGCGTGTGGTGCCTTGTATGCGGTGCGTGTGGTGCCTTGTGTGCGGTGCGTGTGGTGCCTTGTATGCGGTGCGTGTGGTGCCTTGTATGCGGTGCGTGTGGTGCCTTGTGTGCGGTGCGTGTGGTGCCTTGTATGCGGTGCGTGTGGTGCCTTGTGTGCGGTGCGTGTGGTGCCTTGTATGCGGTGCGTGTGGTGCCTTGTATGCGGTGCGTGTGGTGCCTTGTATGCGGTGCGTGTGGTGCCTTGTATGCGGTGCGTGTGGTGCCTTGTATGCGGTGCGTGTGGTGCCTTGTGTGCGGTGCGTGTGGTGCCTTGTATGCGGTGCGTGTGGTGCCTTGTGTGCGGTGCGTGTGGTGCCTTGTATGCGGTGCGTGTGGTGCCTTGTATGCGGTGCGTGTGGTGCCTTGTGTGCGGTGCGTGTGGTGCCTTGTATGCGGTGCGTGTGGTGCCTTGTGTGCGGTGCGTGTGGTGCCTTGTATGCGGTGCGTGTGGTGCCTTGTATGCGGTGCGTGTGGTGCCTTGTATGCGGTGCGTGTGGTGCCTTGTATGCGGTGCGTGTGGTGCCTTGTATGCGGTGCGTGTGGTGCCTTGTATGCGGTGCGTGTGGTGCCTTGTGTGCGGTGCGTGTGGTGCCTTGTATGCGGTGCGTGTGGTGCCTTGTATGCGGTGCGTGTGGTGCCTTGTATGCGGTGCGTGTGGTGCCTTGTATGCGGTGCGTGTGGTGCCTTGTATGCGGTGCGTGTGGTGCCTGATGTGCGTGGCGGTACCTGCAGGGGCGACAAGGACGCAGCAGCGGCGGCGGGCGTGTGGGAGGGCGTGGTGGGGGTGGTGCGCGAGGGCGTGCGGTACGGCATGTTCGTGGGCACGTTCGCCGGCTCCTACTGCGTGCTGGACGAGGGCATTGCGGCCGTGGGCGGACACGACAAGTACGTGCCTGTGCGCGGATGTATGCGCGCGGATGTATGCGCGCGTGCGTGCGTGTGTTCGTGTGTGGGTGGTGTGGTGGGGGTGGGATGGGAGGGGGTTTTGGCGGGGGGGAGAGTGTGGTGGACGAGGGCATTGCGGCCGTGGGCGGGCGGACACGACACGTACGTGCATGTGGCTGGATGCTCAAGGATGTGTGCGTGTGCATGTGGGTGTGCGTTTGGACAGGGAAGGGGGGGGGGGGGAGTGGAGTGGTTGATATCTGTGCATGCACGCACTCCGCGCCCTACATCCATCACATCAACCGCGACGCACAACCACTCTCCTTCACTCCATACTCTCCCTGCCATGTGCCCTTGCCTCATCGTGTCACTCCACATGCCCCCCCTCCCCTTCGCCTCACCACTCCACCCCTGCTTTCTCCCCGCTCGCCTCCCTCTTCCTCTCCGTTTCCCCGCTCGCGCGTCCCTACCTGAGCAGGACCCGCAGGTGGCGTGCGCTGCTAGCAGGCGCAGCAGCAGCACCATCGCTCCTGCTAGCGGGGCCCAACACGCGGCACACGAGTCTGGCGCTGTACGTGCTGCTGCGCGCCGTGGTGCTGGCGGTGCGCTGCGGCATCAAGAGCCCCTCGTGGGGCTGGCTCTTCCGCCCGCTCACCTGGCGCCATGGCGACACACTGCTCATGTGCATCTCCGCCGCCCAGATTCTGTCAGTCCTGCCACTCACTTCCCTCTGCCCGGCCTCCCCTCTGCCAGCCCTCCCCCTCTGCCTCACGTCCCCCTGCCCTCTCTCCCCTGTGCGTCCGCTCACCTGGCGCCATGTGCATCTCGCTGCTCATGTGCATCTCGCTGCTCAGATCCTGTCAGTCCCGCCACTCCCTCCCCCTCTGCCCTCACTTCGTTCTGTCCTCACTTCCCCTGCCCTCTCTTCCCTCTGCCTTCCCTCCCCTCTACCCTCCCTCCCCTCTACCCTCCCTCCCCTCTACCCTCCTTCCCCTCTACCCTCCCTCCCCTCTACCCTCCCTCCCCTCTACCCTCCCTCCCCTCTGCCCTCCCTCTCCCTCTGCCGTCCCTGCTGCTCTGTCCGTCCCCGTGTCTCGTTCGCTATGCTGCATGCACCAAGTATGAATCGCTACCGTGTGCCTGGGGAATGTGTGTGTGTGCATCTTCACAACCCTTTTCTGCTGCCCGTCACGTCTCCCGCTGCTCCCTGTCACGTCACCACATTCGCTTACCCTACCTACAGCTTCTGCCACGTGCAGTGAAGACACCCAAAGTGTCTCAGGGTGTCTTCACCCTGAGTGTGCACTGAAGACTCCCTCCTCACTCTCTCGCCCACACACACACTCATCCCCATCACCCCCCTTTCCCCATCCACGCCCCCTTATACAATCCCCCTCTCTCTCCCCCGCTTCCCATGCACCCCCCCACCCCCCGCAACCCCTCCGCCCCCTCTTTCCCCCTCTCTCTCCCACACCCTCTCCCCTTTCCTCACCCCGTGCGTCCCACTCCCCCCAGCTCCGCGTGGATGCTGGAGCCGCACAGCCTGCCGGCCACGTATGTCTCCTTCCTCAACAAGCACGGCAACAAGCCTCCTCATACAACCCTTCCCCCCCTTCATTCCTGCGTTCCCCCCACCCCCCAGCTCCGCGTGGATGCTGGAGCCGCACAGCCTGCCAGCCACATACGTGTCGTTCCTGAACAAGCACGGCGGCAAGCCCGCCTGCGTGTACCAGGCCATGAACGAAATGGCGCTGCACGGACGCGTCACCCCCGCCTGCACTGCGGACCTCGCTGCCATGCTTGCGCGCAGCGGGGGGAAGGGTGGGGGCGGCGGGGGAAAGGGGGGGATGAAGCTGCCGTGGACGCGCGTGGTGCCGGCGCATGAGGCAGTCATTCCCTGTGATGTGAGCCACATGCATGCCATGCTTGCCCTGCATGCCATGCCCACTGTGCCCACCATGCCCACTGTGCCCACCATGCCCACTGTGCCCACCATGCCCACTGTGCCCTCCATGCCCACCATGCCCACCATGCCCACCATGCCCTCCATGCCCACCATGCCCACCATGCCCTCCATGCCCACCATGCCCACCGTGCCCACCATGCCCACCATGCCCACCATGCCCACCATGCCCACCATGCCCACCATGCCCACCATGCCCACCATGCCCACCATGCCCACCATGCCCACCATGCCCTCTGTGCTTGCTATCCCCGCTGTGCGCACATTCACTCCCTGCGCTCCTCTTCCCTGCCTTCACCTCGCCCTCCTTGCTTCACCCACCACTGCTGCTGCTGCTGCTGCTTGCGCTGCAACACCATGCCTTGCCTTGCCTTGCCTTGCTTGCTTTCCAACACCGGGTGTGCACACCACACCCCCCATCCACATGATCCGAGCTACACTGCTTCCTACTCCACGGCCCCTTCGCCCATTTCTCTCCAGCAACGTCTTCCCTCCCCTCTTTTCCCCCTTCCTCCCCTACCCTGCTTTCCCCTCCCCTCCCTTCCCCTGCCCTCCCCTCCCCACCCGTTTCCTCCCGTCCCCTCCCGTCCCCTCCCGTCCCCTCCCGTCCCCTCCCGCCCCCTCCCGTCCCCTCCCGTCCCCTCCCGTCCCCTCCCGCCCCCTCCCGTCCCCTCCCGTCCCCTCCCGTCCCCTCCCGCCCCCTCCCGTCCCCTCCCGTCCCCTCCCGTCCCCTCCCGCCCCCTCCCGCCCCCTCCCGTGCCCTCTCAACCGTCCCTGCCCCACATCCCCACCAGTTCCTGCACCCGGGCGGGTGGTGCTGGTGGCACTTCCTCTCCTTCCTCCCAGCAGCGTACATGAGAGCCGTGCCCGTCTACGTGCCAGTCTACCTCGTGCCTGCTCTGCTCGTGCACCGCTCCTCCCTCCTCCGCCAGTGAGCGCCCCCTGCCCTGCTGCTGCTTCTTGCCCCACCCTCCGGCGTACACCTCTTTCTGTCTTCTCCCACCCATCCCATCCGTTCTCCCTAACCTCCCCACTTCTTCACCAGTCCCTCTGGCGCAAGCATTGTTTCGAACTTTGAATAGATAGAGAAATAAACTGGAAAGAATGTTTCCCCAAGTGGGGCCACATGGCTTGGCGGTCAACTCAAGTCGTCGTGTACACATGCCTAATCTCTTCTACTCTCGCTCCTCCCATGGACGGCAATTGAGACTTCAACTTCATTCCCAAATCTCCTGCTCCTGCTCCTTGTCCCTCCGTCCGCCCCTCCCATTTCTCCGCTCTTGTGCCTCCCTGCTCTGCTCCTACACACACCTCGCCCTATACACAATACTGGAGGTTTGCAAAGTTCCCCTCTGTTCTCCGCCCCTACCCCACCGCCCATCCCCCACGGCCTATCCCCCACGGCCTATCCCCCACGGCCTATCCCCCACGGCCCGCCCTCCCCACCAGGCCTCTGTCCATTGCACTGCGCACGGCTCTGGGAGCAGCGCGCTCCTCGCTCTTCCTCGCCACCTACTGCGGCACTGCCTGGTGCTGCTCCCCCTCCCTCCTTCCCCTCCGCCCCCCCCCCCCCCCTTCCCTCCTCCCCTCCTCCCCTCCTCTCCTCCTCCCCTCCTCCCATCCTGCCCTCCTGCCCTCCTGCCCTCCTGCCCACTTTTCAACCCTAACGACCTTGCTCCTCGTGCATCCACCTGCCCCCCCCACCCCTGCTCGTCTGCGCATCCCTGCTTCCACACACCACTCTCGTCTCGTGCATCCCAATGCATTCTCTCTCCTCTGCTCCCCTCCACCCATTTCTACAAGCCCTTTCACCCTTTCACACTTTCACGCGTTTGTCTTTCCGCCCTGTCATTCTTTTGCCCTTTTCCGCCCTGTTATTCTTTTGCCCTTTTCGCCCTGTCATTCTTTTGTCCTTTTCGTGCGCACAGCATGAGCCTTGTCCCTGACCCCCTCCTCCCCCCCTCTTGCCATCTGCTCCATCTGTCATCGCATTTATCTGACCAGCCCCCTTTTGTTTACTCCCTTCACATCCTGCTTCCTTCGCTCCAATGTCCTGCCATCACATGCCGCCCGGTTCCCCCAAGACTACTCAACGCCATTTATTCACTGCCATCCATGCCGCCCAATGCCGCCCATGCCGCCCGCTTATCTCCCAGGTTCTGGACGTGCAACATTCACCAGTTGGTTGGCAAGTGCACGCGTGCGACCATGGCTGGTGGCGCGGTGAGTGTGCCATGCATTGAAGCGCGTGCGGAGAAGGGGGCGGAGGGAGGGGGGGGAGAAATGGGGGGGAACAGTGCAACATCGTGGAGTATGTTGGAGTTGGGGTGCTTTGAGAAAGGGGGGTAGTTTGTGCCATGACTTCAGTATTCAGAAAGAATGTGAGGGCTAGAAAGGTGGCGTACCACCCTACCTGCAATCCTCGCCTTACATCTGCATCACCCAACCGTCCCCATCTGCATTTCTCCTCACACGCTTCCTTCTCCCCATCTCCTCATCCTCCCATCCCTCTTCACCCCAAACTCTCCATCCTCCCACTCACCGCCTCTCCCGGTCTCCCTCCGCCCCTCGCAGTTCCTGTGCGGGCTGCCAGTGCTACTGGAGAAGAAGTCCCCTCACATGGAGCTCGCACTCTAATGCTTCTCGCATCGCGTGCCATCCCATCTTCTTTCATCTGCCTCTCCTCCCTCCCCCACCTCCCCTCCCTTCCACTTCCCCCTCGCAGTTCCTGTGTGGCCTGGCAGTGCTACTGGAGAAGAAGTCGCGGCGCATGGAGCTAGCGCTCTACTGCTTCTCCCGTGCCATCGAGTCATATTTCATCTGCCTCGCCTCCTGGGGCGTCCTCCCGCCGCTCTCTTCCCTCGCTCTCTTCCCCGCCCTCGCCAAGCGCTACCTCTCCACCAAGTCTGCTGCTGGAGCGCCCGGAGGTGTGGGAGTGGGTAGCAGAGCAAGCGCAGGAGGGTGCAGAGGGGGAGGGATCGTGAAGGAGTCGCTAAGCGGAGTTCTCCCAGTGGCAGCAGCGGTGCTGCAGCCGCACGCTCTCCTAGACGTGGCGTTACTGGCAGCAGCAGCGGGGGTGATCATGCAGTGCTACCAGAGCGAGAGAGACGTGTTCCGCTCCAAGTACCTGAACGTGCTTGACTGGATCTTCGGGGTTCCCAAGGGGCAGAAGGCTGCCTCTGAGCTCAACCGCCGCCGCTCCCCTCAGGTGCATGCGTTGGAGCATGCTAAGCCGCGCTCGCTCTCCCTCCCGGCCTTCTCCCTGCCCGCTTCTGCAGCGGGTGCTGCCTCTGGCACCTCTCGTGCTTTCGCTGGGATTTTGCCGCCTGCCAACCTGCCTCGTGCTGCTGCTCCTGGTGCCGGTGCTGCTGCTGCGCGCTCGGCTCCTGGCTCTGGCAATCTGTTGAATGGCAGTGCGTCTGGTGAGCAGCATCAGCAGTGCAACGGGATGGAGAGTGCTGATAAAGTCAAGTGAATGCCCGAGGACGGAGGGAGGGAGTCAGGCACAGCAAGATGGAGGAATGGAGACCGGTTGGAGGGAGTGCAAGTTAAGAAGAAGGCGATTGAGTTATTATTGGTGGAGCATCTGCGTCAGGTTCTGTTACGGCATGCAAGTTGCATTGCACGCACCCTCATGTTCAGCTCACTCCTTTCAATGTGCTCGAAGTGTACCGTATGTGTTCCAGCTGTTGAGCTAGGCTAGGATACCGTACAAAAGGTTCAGTAATTTTTTGTGAGTGGTAGATTACCGTATTACAGCCGCAAGTGAGGTACAGGTAGCTTTTTTTTTGGAGTTAGCTGCTTGGTTTTCTACCTAAGCTGTGACATGAGAACAGAGTTGGATCATGTAAGCTATAGCTGTACCTGAGCCGGATACTGGAGAGTCATGTAAAGTGACATACCGTACTTTGGGGAGTGGTAAGGTAACTAACCCCATGTTGTCACATCACCTTCTCACCTGATTATTTACCACATGCCTTGTGTTGAGGAATTCTTGCCACTTCAAACACCTAAAACCAGCACACAAAATATTAATATATGCACCCTGCTCTGCATGCCATGAAACGGCCATGCGCATCACAAGAGAGCATCATAAACAGATAGTGCCACGGGTGGAAAGCACCTACAGTAGCTGCTGCAATGCTCACACCTGGAACACCAAAGCACCCCATGAACAATTCTACATAACGGAACCCTAATACCGTAACAACTGGAATGGACAAGGCCCATGAGCATTGAGCAGGAGAGTAACTAGCAGAGAATGCCCTCTTGAGGACCACGGCCTTGACAAGCTCACAACCGCCACCGTTCCAACTTCCACTCCTCCCATTTCCAGCTGCCCCTCCTTCCCCGCCCACCCACCACCCCCCACCTATGTATACCTATCAACCACACCTCCGTCACCCTCCACACAATTTCCGGCTCTCCTCGCTCATCCCTCACCCGTTTTCACCCCTCCCCACCCATCCCCACCATCCCTACACTCAAGCAGCGCCAGCAGTGGGGGTGGTGACGGAGGTGGGCAGCCCCTTGGCCTGCATGGTCTTGAGAGTGGATGCCAGCCAGTCCAGCCCCTCAAATAGCCCCTCGCCCTTGGGCGCGCTCGTGCCCTGGATGTGCCAGTAGCGGTTGCGCAGCTGCTGCAGCCCCATGATCTCGCACACCTCTAGAGGGGACATGGCGCCCTTCTGTGTGAGGGGGGGTGGTTGGGGGGAAGGGGGTGGTACGGGTGGGTGGGGAGGGGGGTGGTACGGGTGGGTGGGGAGGGGGGTGGTACGGGTGGGTGGGGAGGGGGGTGGGAGGGGACGGAGGGAGGGTTGTAAGGGGAGGAGGATGGGGCACATGAGGGATGGGGCGGAGGAGCGAGCGTGGTGGGTGGCGTAGGATGGGGAGGGTGGAGCGAACACATGGTCAGCAGGCAGAATAAGACATGCGCACAGGCTGATTAAGTGCTATATGCAGAGAAAACGTTTGAGAGGGAAACACGTGCCACGCGAGTGCACAGGGGAGGAAGGTCGAAGGAGCGAGGAGGGAAGAAAAGGGGGTGAGAGGGGGGGGGGGGGGGGGTGGGGTGGGTGGCGATGGAGGGAAGAGGCGCGAGGCGGCGAGCACTGACAAGGTCTTGCTTGTTGGCGAAGACAAGCAGTGCACTGTTGCGCATGAGCGGATCCCCCACTATGCTCTGCACCACCCGATAGGACCCATAGGGAGGGGCGAGACGACGGGGGGTAGGTTAGGGGGGGGAGGGGAGGGGAGGGTGAGTGACGGAGAGTGGAGTGGGCTTACTGGGAGAAGTGGAACTGGAAGGGACTCAAGGGGAGGGGGCGGGCAGTTGGGCACGTTGGGAAGATGGCAAGGTGGGAGAGACGGGAAGGCTATAAGGAGAGACGATGATGAAAGTCGGGGAAGGAGAGGAAAGAGAAAAACAGGGACGTTTGCAGGAATATGCATGATTGACAGTCTGAACTTCACGACGAAGAGCATATGGTCATGGGATGGGTGAGAGGAACACAGAGGAGAGAGAGGGCGGTGCAGTGGTGCAGGGAGGCGGGCGGGCGAGTGGGTGAGTGAGAGAGCAAGGGGTGACCTGAAACTCCTGTGCTGCTTGCCGCACTCTCTCCCTGTCCAATGAATCCACCACGTAGATCTGAGGCGCGCGCACACATGCACATGCACATGCACACACACGAACACACACATGCAAACGCACACAGACATGCACGTGCATGTGCACACGCACATTCCCGCCATAAAAAGCACACAAATACCCATCCACGCCAATCCACAGGCCCACGCACACAAGGAGCCGGGGGTCAGAAAACCCTTTTGAGTCGACTCAAACATAGTTTTCGACTCAAAATTATCCACAACCCCACGCACACAGGGAGCCCGGGGTTGAAAAGCAGCAGATGGCATGGCACAGAGGCGTGGCGGGTGCACACGCAGAAAGCAGTGCAGCAAACACCCTCCCACACACGCAGCGAGCAGCCCCCACCAGTTGGCACAGACAGAGCAGCGGTCACGAGCAGGCTGGGCGCGGAACGGAGCGAGGCACGGGGGCACGCAGCAGGCAGACGCGCGCGCGCGTGCTGGAGAGCGCGCGGGGCTTACAAGCGCGTCGGTGTTGTTGAAGTAGTTGCGCCACATGGGGCGCAGCTTCTCCTGGCCCCCCACGTCCCACACCGTGAACTGCACGTTCTTGTACTGCACCTTCTCCACGTTGAAGCCTGTGAGGGGGGGGAGATCACACACACCGCACACACCGCACACACCGCACACACGGTGAACTGCACGTTCTTGTGCTGCACCTTCTCAACGTTGAACCCTGCTCGCCGCGGGGGACGGGCCACAGCGTGCCCGCCAGCACGCACGCGCGCGCACGAACAGTGCCGGACGGAGGGGATGGGCGGAATGGGAGCACGGAACGGAGGGCGCGGGGGGCGGGGGAGGGAAAGGTTGAGATTGAATCATATGCACATGCTAACAGTTGTTTGGCTGGGTGGAAACATATGGTGGTGCGGCGACACGCACCTATGGTGGGGCGGCACGGCACGCACCTATGGTGGGGACGGTGGAGAGGATCTCTCCGATGTGCAGCTTGTACAGTATCGTCGTCTTGCCCGCCGCATCCAGCCCCAGCATCAGCACCTGCCGCGCGCACGGCGCGAGGGAGGGACGGGGGGAACGAGGGAGCGCGACGGAGAGCGAAGGAGGGCGAGAGCGAGCGACGGTGGAAGGGACGGGAAGGGGGGTGGGGAGGAAGGGTAGGAGAGAGGAAGGAAGCGCTTGGGCAAGTGAAATCCGAACATTTTCTGCGGATTACCGTGGATGCGACAGCAGCTACGTGTCTAAGCGAACTACGTGGATTCGGGAGCAACACAACGCGACGCGGGACGCGGCGGTAGTGTGTGCGAGCGCGCGCGCACGTGTCGGGAGTGGCCACAACAATGGCGCCTTGCGGCTCCCGCTTTGTGTAAAACTCTCCGATCGTAGCAACGAGGGCATGCGGCCGGATGGAACGGATGCAAGAGTAGATGCTGGTAACAGATGGGCGTCCATCGTGGCTCCCGCTCCCTACCCTCTCACCCCCCCTCCCCTTTCCCCCCCTCCCTCCGTATCCCTCTCCCTCACAACCGCCACCCGCTCACCCGCATCTCTCGATTCCCGAACAGCGTGTCGAACAGCTTCCGGAACGCCTGCCCCATGCTGCCCGACCGCGCGACACCCACCACCACCACCACCCAGAGAGCCGCTACCCGCTGCCCTCTGCGCGCTGCCGGTTACGTGCTCGCTGCGCGGCGAGGCGACGATTCTGCACGATGCCTACCCGCTGCTACACACCACGGTGTCCGCACGGCGACGCCGGCCCCCGCGCACCAATTCGAGGAGAAACAGCTGCTGTGCGAGCTGGAACAGGGGACGACGGGACGCGCACTCGCGGGGTGCTGTTAGGCCCCGCGAAGAGAGGGGGAAAGGCGGAGGGAGGAGGGAGAGAGAGACAAGACAAGGGAAGGGAGGGGCACAAGGGAAGTCAAGCAGGTGGATGTGAACCAAGGCACCGACGAGATGGGGTAGAGAGTTTAATCCCGTGACAACCTAAAGTCGACCGCGTGAATTTATAGCGTGGGGGTAGAGAGCAGGAACGGGAGCGATTCATTGGAAACAAAATAGCAGCTTAGCGACGCAAGGGACGCTTAGAGACGCAAAGGACGCTTTCTGAAGGACAACTTGTAAGCTCAAACGACGTTAAGCAATGAAAACGGACAAACCATGAGGGCAGAGCCTATGAGAGGACCGTTGCGGAGAAATAGCTATCCTAGTAAATGAGCATGCGATGCGATAAGCGTGCATAATTTACCTGAGCAGTAAAAAAATCGCCGTCTAAGTTACAGATCTGGATTGCGTGTGCCGCCCCCGCAACAATTCCATTTGTGGCACAATCAGACAATCCCGAATAAAGCCCTACAGTCAGTCTCACCCTAATCCTACTCTCCGATATGATCAACTAAGCCGATTTTCCAGCAGTGGGAAGCAGTAGAAACGGATGCCGGCAGCGGCAGATCCAGGCAAAGTCAGCCCAGGCAAAGAGGAATGCATTTGATGCAATCGGCGCGACAGTCACAGAACAGGGTGGGGGGAGAAAGGCAGGGGTGGGGGGGAAAGCGGGTGAAGTGGGTGGTTGGCCTGGTTCGTCGAAGCAGTGGCTGGAAGGGAGCCGAGCCGAGACGGGAGAATGCTGTCCAATAGCAGGACAGAGCACCGTGAGTGTTCAAGTGATTTTACAAGTTGGAAAAGGTTAGTACAGTATCGAGGTCAAAAACCGGTCCCCTATACCGAGCGCGACCAAGAATCCTCCCCTACGAGTGTAACATCCTTGTAGAGAAATTCAACGATCTCATAGTTCTTATGAGCTGTATAATCTGCGGAATAAGGGCACGTATTTTTTTCCGTTTCCGTCCAAAGTCCCGACTATGCATCAAACCGTGCGGACGGAGCTTCCGTACGGGTTGGTGTTGAGATATGAAATTAAATTAGAAGGCATTCTTGTACGCTGCAGGAACCGACTCTACCGAGTATGAAGTCGAGGAGTCGGAAGAGTCGAAGCGACATCAGCAATCGTCAGATTGAGACTGATGCAGGCAGAAGAATTCGAAGTGAAATTGGCAGGAACAGGTTCAAACGGGTTCCCGCTGTCAAACTCATATGCTGCTTATTAAGTAGGCTGTAGTGGGGTAGCCCATATGGGGTACAAACCAATTAGTGTTTCCTACTTGTACCCATCTTGCTGCTAGTTCATTCATTCTTGCTCGTTAGTTTCTGACATGGTTTCAGAGCAGTAGGTCTGTAGGACCGTTTTTTTCCGGGCCCACCATTACCTAGTGACCGACTGCGGTTACCGCGTTACCCCACGCCCTGCCCTGCGCTGCGCCGTCAGTGCGAGCCCTGCCCTGCCCTGCCTTGCTTCGCTCTGCCCCGCGCACGCCCTGCCCTGCCCTGCGCCGCGCTGCCCCGCGCACGCCCTGCCCTGCCCCGCGTCGCGCTGCCCCGCGCACGCCCTGCCCTGCCCCGCGTCGCGCTGCCCCGCGCACGCCCTGCCCTGCCCCGCGCCCTGCTACCCTGCGCGTCGTGCCCTGCTGCAGCCCGCGCGTCGCGCTATGCTGCCCCGCGCGTCGCACTCTGCTGCAGCCCGCGCGTAGCGCCCTGCAGCCCTGCGCGTCGCGCCCTGCTGCAGCCCGTGCGGCGCGCTCTGCTGCCCCGCGCGTCGCGCCCTGCTGCCCCGCGCGTTGCGCCCTGCTGCAGCCCGCGCGTCGCGCGCTGCTGCCCCTCGCGTCACGCACTGCTGCATCCCGTGCGCCAGCGCCCTGCCCTGCGCCAGCGCCCTGCCCTGCGCGCGCTGGCGCTCTGCCCTGCGCCAGCGCCCTGCCCTGCGCCAGCGCCCTGCCCTGCGCGCGCTGGCGCCCTGCCCTGTGCCAGCGCCCTCCTGTGCACCAGCGCCCTGCCCTGCGCCAGCGCCCTGCCGTGCGCCAGCGCCCTGCCGTGCGCGAGCTGGCGCCCTGCCCTGCGCCAGTGCCCTGCTAAACCCTAAAAAAAAAAAAAAAAAAAAAAAAAAAAAAAAAGAAAAAAAAAAAAGCCCCAGGTGCTTCTGCCCTAGGAGCTACTGCCTGCTGCTGCCTGCTACTGCCCTGCTTTGGCCGCGCGCCGCCCTGCTCTGGCCGCGCGCCGTCCTGCTCTGGCTGCACGCCGCCCTGCTCTGGCCGCGCGCCGCCTTGCTCTGGCCGCGCGCCGCCCTGCTCTGGCCGCGCGCCGCCCTGCTCTGACCGTGCGCCGCCCTGCTCTGGCCGCGCGCCGCCCTTCCTTGACCGTGCACCGCCCCGACCTACCCTAGTGTCTCCTCGCCGCCCTTCCTGCCCTGCGTGCTGCCCTGCTGGTCGCATGACTTCCCTTCACGGCAGCGGTGGGAGTGGTGGCGGCGGTGGCGGCAGCAGTGGGAGTGGTGGCGGCCTCATTAGCAGTCGCTTTGGAGCTGTTCGGTGGAGAGTTTCTGGCGGTGGCCAGATGCAGCTGCAGCGACGTTCAAGCGAGACCCTTACGCCCCAGCATCTTCGTGAGTGGTACGCCCATAGGTGTCGTGGCGGCGGCAGTAGTGGCAGTCGCGGTGCAGCTAGTCGGTTGGGAGTTTCTGGCGGTGGCCTGGTGCAGCTGCAGCCGCGTCCGCGCGAGACCCTTACGCCCCAGCAGCTTCATGAGTGGTACGCTCAGTGTTGGGGGTCTTTGAGTAGTGCTCGCTGCCAGTACGTCATTTGCACAGGTGATCGGGCTGGTCAGACATGCGAGACACCTGGCCATACACAGTCCCGATGCTTTTCCTGTCTGAGCGACACCTGGCGTGCACAGTTTGGCGACGCGGCTGAGCTCCCCCGCTGGCTAGAGCTGCTTAGGCAGGGCGTCGATGTCTTTGCGCTAGACTATGACGCCATCCTTACTGCTATGTATGCATTGACTGTTAGTTCTGAGGGTGACTGTTACTTGTGTGTGCCGCCCGACCCAGGTATAGAGGCTGCTGCTCTAGGTGCTAGTGAGTCTGCTCTCTCTGGTACTGCGCCTGTTGAGGCCTTGCACACTTTCACGCTTGACTCAGGTGCTTCACGCTGTTTCTTTCGCGACAGTACCACAGTCACACCACTCCCTGCACCTGTTGCTGTCAGACTGGCTGACCCCTCAGGGGGCCCAGTTCTTGCCTGTTCTACCACTGTTCTCCCGTGTCCGGTGGTTCCGTCCGGCTCAATCTTAGGTCTTCACCTCCCCTCGTTCTCTACGAACTTGGTGAGTACCGCTGCCCTCCAGGATGCGATGGTTGATACCTTTATTCCTGGTGGTCAGCGTGTGTCGATCTGCACGTGTGCACGGACGGGCCGTCACTTGGCCACGTTCACCCGTCGGCCTGGGTCGAGTCTGTACACACTGACTACTAAGCCTCCCCAGGTAGCTGCGTCTGCGTCCGCTTCAGGTCAGCTTGCGCCCCCCTGCTCGTGTCGCGCCCTGTCGCACCAGACTCTCCTTTGGCACCACCGCCTTGGTCACCCCTCCCTGCAACGCCTCAGTGGCATGCACTCCCGCTACCTTGTCTCTGGTCTTCCCAGGTCTCTGCCTGCCCTCCCACGCTTGTCTGCCCCGCTCTGTCTTCCTTGCGTCGAGGGGCGGCAGCGCGCCGCTCCTCACTCCTCCTCGCTTCCCCCGACAGAGGCTCCCTTGCAGACTCTTCACATGGACGTGTGGGGCCCAGCCCGCGTCCGTGGACATGGCCGCGAGCGATACTTTCTGCTGGTTGTTGACGACTACTCGCGTTACACCACGGTCTTCCCCTTGCACAGCAAGGGGGAGGTCCCTGATGTTTTGATCCCTTGAATCCGCGCTGTCCGTCTCCAGCTTCGCGAGCGGTTCCACTCGGACTTTCCTGTCCTGCGTCTGCACTCTGACAGAGGTGGTGAGTTCGCCTCCGACCTCTTGCGGGACTTTTGTCGTGGGGAGGGCATCCGCCAGACAATCACGCTTCCGGCCTCTCCGCAACAGAATGGGGTTGCTGAGCGCCGCATTGGCTTAGTCATGGAGGTCGCTCGTACCTCCATGATCCATGCGGCTGCCCCCCATTTTCTGTGGCCGTTTGCAGTCCAGTACGCTACGCATCAGCTCAACCTCTGGCCCCGTGTCTCCTTGCCGGAGACCTCGCCCACACTGCGTTGGACGGGGGAGGTTGGCGATGCGTCGGTGTTCCGGGTCTGGGGATGTCGTGCCTTTGTCCGCGATGCTTCCGCGGACAAGCTCTCCTCCCGCGCTGTTCCCTGTGTCTTCCTTGGCTTTCCCCCTGACGCGTCTGGCTGGCAGTTTTATCACCCCACCACGCGCCGTGTCTTCCCCTCTCAGGACGTCATGTTTGACGAGTCGGTCCCCTTTTACCGTCTCTTCCCCCCCCCCCGCTCTACCTCGCTCCAGGTCCCCCCCCGATAGACCCCCTCCCCCCTCAGGATCCTGCTCCCTCAGGTGTGTCCCAGGTAGACCCACTCCCCTTGGTTGAGCCTGTCGAGGTCACTGGTGACTTAGGTGCTGCTGGGGGTGCTGAGCCTGCGGGTGCGGAGCCTGGGGGTGCTGAGCGTGAGCGTGAGGAGCCTGGGGGTGCTGAGCCTGAGCGTGCGGAGCCTGGGGGTGCTGAGCCTGCGGGTGCTGAGCCTGAGCGTGTGGAGCCTGGGGGTGCTGAGCCTGAGCGTGCGGAGCCTGGGGGAGCTGAGCTTGCGGGTGCGGAGCCTGGTGTTGCTGAGTCTGGGGGTGCTCCACCTAGGGGTACTGCTTCTCCACTACGGGAGCCTCTCTCACCGCAGCAGCCGCGCGAGTGGTACGCTCAGCAGCTCCGCCTTCGGAGTGTCGCTACTGGAGAGGGAGGCCTTGGAGC